TAGTTCTTTAACTATAAAGAGAAACTTTTCTTATAATAAACTAGTAATGATTGCAAATCTTTTAGAGCTTTCAATGATACAGCCTGCAACGGCATGTATGCCATAGACTGGCCACCACTGAACTAGGCAGTGATAGAAAATCAAGCAAATTATATTCTGGTTCCTCTTTAGTTTTAATGCCTAAGTAAAATTAGGAATGACATATACTCTAAAAGATGTGAGGCCTTCTGAGAGACTACTAAATTGGTATAACTGCTCTCCTGTGAGTCTAAGAAGCTATAGTTAACTTCCATAGTCAGAAAACTGTATAAAACAAAATAAACAGCTGCTCCTCCTAATCACTGCTTGTGAAGTAAACACTTAAGAAAATTAAAGACTTTTCAATAACTTAAATATTTGCCCTGAGGAAATAAGCCACTTAATAATACTGTTTAGTAAATCACAACTTGTAATTTCAGTAACAAGGTGAGAATAGCATGAATAACAGTGTATCACTTTACAATATTCCAATCACTGGATTGCAAAATCTGTCACACAATTACTATATTTCCAAAGAATAACCTGCAGTATGCCTGATATCTAGCTATTTAACTTCTTTTTAAATGTGAAGTTAAACCTCACCCGGCAAGGTTAAGTTCAGACACTTGCCCCACCACATGGTAATCATGTAAAATAATCACAATTAGATCATCAATTATAATGCATAGTTTTTCAACATAACATTCTTTTAAACAAAGAACAACCCATAGGCAATGAAGATATATCAAAAGCCAGCCTTGGGCCAGGGATTTAGCTCAGTGGTTTCGCTGCCTGCTGCCTGCTGCGCAAGCGCAAGGACCCGAGTTCAATCCCGGGTACCAAAAAAAAAAAGCCAGACTTTTCTTTTTCTTTTTCTTTTTTTTTTTTTTTGGTACCAGGGATCGAACTCAGGACCTTGCACTTGCGAGGCAGGCCCAGTGCCACTGAGCTAAATCTTCAGCCCCCAGCCTTTCATTTTAATAAAGTAGGTAAAATAAATTGGTCTTCATAAAAATTTAATAATGGGTTTTGAAGGACAGCATTTCAAAGAAAGTGAAGACAAAGAATATGAGAAAGTAAACCATACATCTACTAAGGGACTGGTATCTAGAATATATAAAAAACTACTACAACTAAACAATAAGACAAATAGGCCAATTAAAAAATGAACTGTGATAAGCAGCCATAAAATCTGTGAAGGTAAATTATAAACACAAGTGAGGAAACTGGCTGTGAGAAAGATGATCCCCTAGAAGTGAAAAACTTCATAAAGGAATGGTCAAAGATGTTCCAAATACTTAAAGCACAAAGGATAAAATACTAGTATTAATAGAATCTTAGGCATGTGGCAATTCAGTTTAGGAAGGACTAAACTTCTTCAATATCTTGCTCTGTATCATAAATTATATGACAAAAAGAAAATGGAAAGCACTTTTCAAACTACTTGACAAGTTTTTAAAAGAAAATAAAACACCCTAATTCTTAATTTCTCTAGCACTTTAAAATTCAGTGTACTAAATATTAATTTTACTATTTTTAAATTTTCCTATAATTTGTAACCAACCAGAAGAGTTCTTAAAATATTTTCAAACGTCTTAACTTTCCTACTTACCTAGACTGCTTTGGACAGTTTCAGTTTGCACATTTTTAGCCCCCAAATTATTATTATAAAAACACTACCTGTTTAGTGAGGCTGCATTATTTAATCAATTCTCAAGAGCATATATATATCAAGAGTATCAAGAAAAATCTACTAGACCAGTAACAAGTCTCAAGATGGAAATACACTAGTTTAGCTCTTCCATTGTTTAATTCCAAGGTTCTATGTTATGATTTACATGTGCAATTCTCATTACTACTCCCCAAGTTCATCATATCTAAGCATTTTCATCTAAAATGAGGAAAAACTAGGATTAGTGATTAAAGGACATGCCCATAATGGCAAAGCAGCCTGTTAGAAACAGTAGGGAAATCAGAACACTGCTAAACTAGTTCTTCCACTAGCATACACAAAGCTGCCCACTTCTGAAAAGGATTTACTTTGGTTTTTTGTCCATATAGCTTACAGAGACCTAAACTACTCTCAAAGAAAAATATCTCATTTTTTTCTGAACTTCACATTGACATTTTATAAGCACCTGCATTCAGAGACTAGAGTCCCACTGCAACACTAGTATAACCTAAGTGACAAATTTTTAAACGTATGTTGTGGTGTAATGTGGTATCCTAGATGGATGGGGTCCTTTAATATCAAAGGATATTAAATAAAAACTAAAGAAATTTGAGTATAGTATGGATTTTAGTAAATAATGTCAACATGGGTTTATTGTGACAAAAGTACCACATTAATCTAAGTTATCAATAGTGAAAGGTGAACGTGAAGTATATGGATACTCTCGGTACTATCTTCACGACTTTTCTGTAGATCTAAAACCTATTTAAAAAGGTAAGAAGGTGTGTAAGGGGAGGGGCGAATGAGATAAAACTTATTAAATAAATAAATAAGTACTATGTACACTTTCTCTCCTACCAGATTAATGCTTTTTTTTGGAGACAAGTTCTCCCTATGTCCTTTAGCCAGGCCTTGAACCCACTATGTAGTCCAGGCTGGCCTCGAACTCTGACGATTCTCCTGTCTCAGCTTCCCCAGCGCTGGGATTACAGGCATGCATCATCACGCCCAGCAATGCTGAGATCCCGTGAGATTTCAATCGCAGACACTAAATAGTATTTATAAACTTCCACTCCCTAGAGTAGTGTTTCTTAGCTATGATGCAGGAAATACTTTTGACTCCCAATACTAACTCTGTCTCTAGGAAAGGGGAACTTAGCCAGCGGGGTCTCCATCGCAGTCCCACTTCCATCTATGAGAAGGATCTGTCTATGAGTCTGAAATAAGGATACTGCAAGGAAAGAAAATGTGAAAGCCACTCAGTAGCCTAAAAAGGAATGAATTTCATGTTTTCAGGAACATTTCCAAACACTCAGTTCTTCATAATGGAGAGCACTGAACGCAGGGTGTAAGACCTGGATTCTAATCCTTTTATTACCAACCAATTATGTAAAACTTTTTATTCCTTTTGGCCTCAGTTTTCTCATATGCAAAGAGGGCCAAAAGGATATACAAAGTATGTTTCAGCCAAAAAGTCTCAACCTGATTAGAATTACTTTTTCTCTCAAAAAATTTAAAGAATAGTAAAAGTAGCTGTTGCACAGTGAAATACAATGCTTTTAATAAAGATTTAAAAATATTCATCGGCTGGATGTGGTGGCACAGGATATGTAATCTGAGAATTTGGGAGGCTGAGGCAGGAGGATTCTAAGTTGGGAGGCCAGCACATGGATTTCAAACAGCAACACAGTAATTAAAGTTGTAACACTAAAATATCACTTTTACAATAGTCTTTGTTTTGCTGGTTAGCTATGCCCAAGAATAATGAAATATTTATCCAAAGCTGGAATTACTAAAGATTTTATCAGCTACAATACATATATACATTATAAAGATGATTTAATAGACATGCAGAACGTATCCTGAGGCATTACTTAAAAGTACCAATTGCAACATATATTCATTCAAAGCCTTCTATTTTAGTACATATAGGTTTGAAAATTTCATTTTATTAAGCAACGACGGCATGAAATATTAAATCACAGTTCTATAATCTAGTTCCAATAAAACTAGAAAAAACATACTATCTGTTTAAATAGTAAAACAACACTTTTAATTTATTAACATTTTTGAAATGGTCCGTTTTTTAAAGCTTCACCGTTAATATTTAATTTGAAAGTCTGTGCTCAGAGGAAACCACTGTATTCAGTATGGGAGAAGTTGAACAGCTTATCTAAGAAACCACTTGTTCTTCAATTAGCTTTCATCTTGCTCTATGCTTTTAATTTGTCTGCATTGCAGTTTTTCACTTAAATGAAAAAAAGATAACATGGTCAGGTAAGAATAATCACCTAGCCCTCATTCTAAGAGCAATCGTGCTCATGTCATTAGTCTTCTCCTCCCCCACCCAAGTCAAGTTGCGTGTGAGAGAACTAGATGCCCTCCACCCCCTCAACTCGACCCAGGAGGCCTCTAGGCGCAACCCCATCTTCGGTACCCGAACCCGACACCCGCCCACCTTGGGACCTCCTCTCCTAATCCCCCCAGCACCTTCAAACCACAACTCCAACCCACACCAGCAGGGCCCTGCTAACGTGGCCGCGCCAGGGCCACCCCGCCACCATCCGTGAGCGCGCAGCCGAAGCGCGAGCACGACCATCCTCCCCTGACTGCCACCCCAGGCCCTTGGCATCCGCGCGGGTCCCACCCGGACCCTCCCTGGTCCCGGGTTTTGCTCCACAGGGACCGCAGTGCTCAAGAGAGCGCACACCGGCTTCTCCCACAAGATGAGCTCCCGGCCACCAGGAACAGGCGGAGGGGTAGTGCCAGGTCCGTGCGGGAAAGCAGGCAACCCATCCCAGAAACCGACCTGTGGAGACCGCCATCTTCTCCTACAGCCCGACGCAGCCGCCTGAACGCACGGGACGTCAACGTCACTTCCGGGAGCGCCCCGCTGGGTGCGCGTCATTCCAGACCCCGCCTCCAGCGACCGGCTCTGCTGCTGCCTGAGCTGTGACAGCGCGCACGTGGACCCGAGGGATTGGGGACCCTCCGTGGGGACCCTCCCTGCTGTTTCCTCAACTTCGTGTAACTCTACAGCTCTCTTGAAATAAAAAGTTCATGGGGAAAAAAAAGTTCATGGGAGGGTTAGTGGACAGAGTTGAATCAGTTTCCCTAAATTGAGCAAAAGACAGAAAACGTGTTGAAAAAACCATACGCCCAAGGGATGTAATCGGTGAGCGCTACAGTGGCCACGAACCAAGTGAGCGTGTGAACAGAGATGTGCGGCGAGGAGATTCGCGCCTATTTACAACCTCTGTAGTACGTTTACAAAAACAAGAAAAGGAAAGAGGAAAACCTCTCAATGTTTCATACTGATTAAATATTGATAATATTTGGACAAAGCTGAATCACACAGAATACGTTATTAAAATAAAAATAACACAAAACATGGGCGTTGACAAATGTGTTAAAAAACTATTCCAAAGGGGGAACAGGATATTTGCAGAACCTCTAAGAATTAAGCAAATTTATTGTATTTTTCTTTCAATATATGCCTAACAGTGAAACGTGATTAAAATGTATCGCTAAGCCTGAAAAGATCGTTCAAAACGTATACAGTAAAAATTTTAAGGAAGCCTTATGTCACTTAAAAAGGTTTTTCGTCCGTAGTTTTCAGTGTTACTACTATGTAACAAATGGCTCAATAGCTGCTTCTCAAGTGTAGTATAAAATCTGGAGGGCCAGGGATTTAGCTCTGTGGTGCCGCTGACTGCCTTGCAAGCACAAGGTCCTGAGTTCGATCTCCGGTGCCAAAAAAAAAAAAAAAAAGCTGGAAATCAATATTTCATACTATCATGCTTGTGTTGTAAAAGGGAAAAGTGGGGCCAAGGATGTAGTTCAGAAGTAGAGTGCTTGCCTAGCATGTGTGAGACCCTAGCTTCTACTCTAGTACAGTACTGCCAAAAAAAAAAGGAAAAATGAATCCCAAAGAACTGAAATGAGTTTTCTAAGAGCATACATCTACCAGTAGGTTAGAAAAAAAAGCTGGAATTCTAATGTAGTTGTGACTGCAAAGTTAATGCTGTTTTCATCCCTGGTTTCCATTACTATGTTAGCCACAATTCTTAAGTTGCTATAATGGTACCTATAGTCTGAAGCTTTTGATTTTACAGTAATTATTATGCAGAGAAGGGGTAATTACTGCAGGGATAGAGATTCTTAGTTCTTTCAGTTCTGCTCATTGGGCCCATCCCTTTACATATCCAAAGCTTGGGGGGGGGGGCGGGGGGCAGGGGAAGACTCTCTTAGTTGCTGAACATAGAATTTCCTCGGTTTTTGCTTCCCAGCCGATCCCACCTATACCCCCTAATATTAAGTGACACCATAGAACACTCTTTTAATATTTGTACAGTATAGTTCAACCTGGCACCCTCTAGGATCCCCCCCAAGGTCCCCCCTGGTACTTGTGCCCTTGTTTTGTATGGTCCCCTTGCATTGAGTGTCAGCTAGTTCATTCCCTAGCTTCTATTGAACGGGAAAGGCAGAAGTGGTACATATCAGTTCTGAGGCTATGTAGTCTTTTTAGGTTTTTTTTTTAAGTTTTTGCAGTTTGGGGGATTGAACACAGGGCATTCTGCTACTGAGCTGTGTGCCCAGTCCTAGTCACAAAAATCAAGTAGATTGATGCTAGGTGTGTAGCTCATGAGTAGAGCAAGTGCCTAACATGTGAGAGCCCAGGGTTCAATCCCAGTACCAAATAAAGAGTCTAAAACCTTGCATTCAGATTAGAAAACTGTTGCATACTCTATCTTAGTTTAAGGTCTTGCAAATGCATTGGAATGACTACTATTTGGGACCAAATGTGTAGCTCAGGGCTTAGGGTATGCAAGGCCTGGGGTCAATCCCCAGGATACCCCCACTGAAAATAGGCTGATTAATATAATAAAAATTTGCTTAGCATGAAGTGAAATTGTGGAAAGGAACACACCCCAGGACACCCTAAGTGTTAGAATAAGCAAAAGTGGTGGAAGCAAAGGCTGGTATTTGGGGAACAGGGGTCAGTACCACAATAAACGGTTCCGATTATAATGCCAGATCCCAAGAGATCTTTCTACTACTAGGCCTTTTTTTAAATGCTGAGACTTGAACCCAGAAGCACTGTACCACTGAGCTAAATCCCCAGACGCTCATTCACTTCTTCATTTATTGATTTGTTTGTTTATTACTTTTTGAAACAGGGTCTCACTAAGTTGCTCAAGCTGGACTCAAACTTAACAGCCCTCCCGCCTCAGCCTCCCTCAGTGCTGGACTATAGGCGTGTGCCACCGTGCCAAATTAGACAAATTAGTTTTCATAGAAATTTTGAGTTTTCCTTTTGGCTCTGGTTATTAGGAAACTCGAAGCCAAATCAGTAGCACATCTTTAGTAAATATTTAAGATATATAATGTATAGACTGAGTTCACCCTCTCAATTCGCCTTGTTTTCTTATTTCTCCTTTATCATATTTACACTTTTTCATTTCCTTATCATAAAACTTACTATATTGCTATATAATCGGACAAGTCTTTCCTCTGTTTTTAGAAAGCACAGTATTATTAAATGATAAACTATTTTAGGCCTTTGATATTTATAAAACACTGGATAATTGAAACTTAGTATGCTATTTCCTAATCCCTTTCTTTTAGAAGTGCCCAATCATGTTCGACCAGTGGAAGACACCCTAAACTGCTTTCTCCTCAAGCTGACTAGCAGTCTCTGTAGAGGTTTGTCACAAAAACAAACACATTTGCAAAACACCTCTCCACCCCCTCTTCACTCCCCCCCCCAGAAAACAACGAGTTGAAGCAGAAAAGAAGAAAGACGAAGGAGAAGACATGTAGACACAGAGAGAAGTCAAAGAATCCCATTAATGCCACTTAAAAGGAAGTAAGGTCCCCTGCCTCACCCTTCCACTTGACAAAACAACTATCTTTTCTCCCTATGAGTAGCTAGATATGCAATTCTCATGAAGTTCTTGTCACCGGTGTGTGTGATGGACACACCCCAAAGTGTCCTGTGACCCACGTCCTGGAGTTTGTGACCCTGTGGGATCCACCATCCCTCTTTGAGTGTTGTGGGAACTGTGACATTTCTTTAACCTACAAATGGCAAAGTGATGGGAAGCCATTTCTGCAACTGCAGTACATGTTATCAGAATGCCCATGCTGCAAGGAAAGTCTTCCCTTTGGTGGGTCTGAAGCTGTCATGATGCAAGCTTACTTCGGAGAGGACCAAGTGACAAGAAACTAAGGCCAGGCTCTGGCCAACAACCAGCATGAAACCGAAGCTCTCAGTGTGACACCCTGCAAGGAACTGATGTAAGCTTCGAGGCATAATAGACCTCAGCTGCTGACACCAGCAAAAGTCAACTCCCTCCTCCCTCAAGCCTTGAGATCAGACCACAGCCCCTGAACTGGCACCTGGATCACAGCCCAGCCAAGCCCAGACTCCTGACTCATCAACACTGGGAGAATAAACCTGTGCTTTTAATCACCAAGTTTGTGATACCTGGTTATGCAGCAAAGAATAACATGATAACCTTACAGTAAGTCACTATGTCTTAACAGCCTGAGTCAGTCTGCTTTCCTCATGAAGGATTCTGGCAAATGAAATATCTAATCACTATGAGAAAAACTCTAATACTATCAGCAAACTATTTAGCTTTCTCCAAGTTTTTCTTCTTAATTCTAGTGATCTTGTCTAGATTGTAATGGCTTCTCAGCTAACCTATCCTAAATGTCCATGTTCCTTTTTTGAAAATTTTTTTTACTCTTTTTATTGGTTATACAGATTAATAGCTTTCATTTTGCCATGTTTGTACGTGCACATAACATTCTTCCATCATTCCCTCCCAACATTCTCTTGCTTTTCCCTCCCCCCAGTTTCACATTTAGAAGGGTCAATGTGTATATTTTGTTCATATTCATCATTTCCTTACCCTCCCTAACACCTTCTCCTTCCCCTCTTATTCCTCTCCTCTTGTTTAATAATAGTCTCCCTTTTATTTTTTTGTCATCTTTTTTATATTCCACATATTAGGGAAAACACGCAATTTTTGCCTTTTGATGTCTGGCTTATTTCTCTCAACATGGTGGTCTCCAGATCTATCCATTTTCTTGCAAATGACATAATTTCATTCTTCCTGTGGCTAAATAATGCTCCGTTGTGTATATATACTACATTTTCATTGTGCATTCGTCTGTTGATGGGCACCTAGGCTGGTTCCATATCATGGCTATAGTGAATTGTACCAAATGAACATGAGTATTTCCCCATAATATGCTGGCTTTAATTGTTTCAGGTATAGTGCATGTTTCTTAAACACAGCATTCATTACGTCCTTTCTGATCAAGTAAACTTGCATTTGCTTTTTATGTTATTTATTTGTTTGTTTGTTTGTTGCCTACCACTAGGTTGGCAATCAGTTTCATACTGACTGCCAATTCAAATCAATATATAATGGCTAGCCGAAGAGCCACATCAAAGGCTGTGGTCAAGCTCAGCAAAAAAAAAAAAAAAAAAAGTGCTGTCACCATGTGTTGATGTCAGCTGTAAGGAGTTACAGCAAAGCGCTTCGGTTGACCAGCCTGGACAATGGTATCGTATCCAAACACCTCTGTCTGACTTTCACCAACAACAACCTATCACACATTATTGCTCATCCCTTTCCAGTGGATGCTCACAGTACAAAGAAGAACATTATTGCTTTCTTTCCTGAGTCCTTTCCTGATTAATTCTTTCTTCTCCTTTCATTAAATTCTTCTAGCTCTTTTAGTATAAACTAAGGAGTTAGTATGGCAAAAAAAAAAAAAAAAAAAAAGCTAACATGTTCTTTCTGACTGTAAAAATCAGATTTATCTTAATCCATGTAATGGCATGTACCTAGATATCCCCCCAAAGCCTCATGCACTCATAGGTGGGGCTTTT